GCTGGCTTCAGCTGCCCCCGCACCAAGCTCTCAGACGCAGCATCCCCCTGGGATCAAAGTGAATCAAAGCCATGCTTCTTGGGGTTGGATGGGGAGAAAAGAGGATTTTAGTGCTAGGCTGTCGAGGTCGATTCCAGTGAAAAAAATAAAAAGGAGCTTGATCCATAACTTTGGCCCAAACAACTTGCAAGTGTTGGACAGGATGTTTCACTTTTGTGCCTCAGTTTCCCATCTGTGAAACTTTTCTAATTTGGCCACGAGGGCAGTGTTTTACAGACACCCACTTCTCAGCCAAGTTCTCCTCTAGCTTTTAATCTTAAATACGGCTACTATAAAAAGGTGTCCACCTATCTATCTAGGAACCTTTTCACTACATGCCTTAAACCAGGCAGCAACTGAGAAGATTTTTTGTCTGGCATTTCAGCAGAAAGACAGGGACACCTTTTGCCATGAAACCAATGCTGAGTTGTGTGGGAGCTGGCTCCACCTCTCTGTGGCAGGGCACTGACACGCCTGCGAATGTCCCACCACAGCATGTCCCACCACAGCACGTCCCTCCAGCTGAGGAAAGAGAGGTGCCACCTCCCCTTCCAGCCCAACAGAATCGCAGGGCATACTCAGCAGCAAGAGCCCAGGACACCGCAGGAGGAACTGGCAGCAAAAGGAGCCCCAGACGGTTACATCTCTGGTGACTTTAGATGCCACTCCAGACATCTCAACACAGCATGCAGGCAAGACCACCTTAGCTCTAACTCAGCTGTTTCAGTTACAAAAGTGGTTGTGACTCACTCACAGCGTGGGTGGGAGGAGAAAGGGATTTGGACTTGGCCTCTTCTTGGGGCCTTCATTGACCCAACAAAGGTCCAAAGTCTCACTGTGAGCAGCAAAGAAACCCCGTATAACCCACTCCTCCATCAGCCCTTCCTTCACCACTGTCCCTTCCTTGCTCTTCCACCCAGGAGACATCAGCACTTACTGGAAAGGCATCTTGGGCTTCACACATCCTGGCCACTGAGGTCTGAAACTCTCCAATGAAGTCGTGGCCTCCATCGCTGTCATAGTCATAACACATGACCTAGGAGCACAGAGCAGCCTCAGACACTCTAAATGAGCTTCTTATTAACACAGCCCTGGGTTTCAGAGGTTGAAAGGAGGGGACCATGAGGCTGACCACCACGATACCAGCTGAAGAGCCCCACAATTACCTTTATCAACTTCTCTATGTCTCCATCGCACAGCGACACTAAAGGCACAGAGAACGGCTTCCAGACAGGGTCCAACGTGTACTTGATCACCTGTGGAGTGGGAACATAGGGATGCAGTCACTACAGGCACACGTGAAATAGGAGAGTTGAGCATAAAGAAGGGGACAGGTTTCCAAGAGGGCTCCCTGGACCAGGTTCTCAGGGAGGACAGTCAGATATTATTTCCACTAGGAAATCTGGTGGGCAAAACAGCGCAGGCAGCAAAGCAGAACAGCCCCCAGCAGGTCCATATCTCCTTCTCTGTGCAACACCTGCCTGAGCTGAAGAAATATGATTTTGACATTCACTGAGAGAGTGCAATGCCTTGGTGGAAACCTGGAGGGCTAAGCAAACATGAGCAGGCTTGGGGCACACTTCTGTGCATATCAGAGCTCCTTGCAGGACATTCGAGGACAGCTTGCTGTAGCTCCAACCTGCTCATGGAGATTCCAATGACGGGGCCCCACAACCACGCACGGTGTCTCGCAGTGCCCACATCCCTTCCAAGAGGAACGGATTGGAGGGTGCTCAAAATCCCCATGCTGGAAATAAATACAGGCCCTGGCTACTGAATTGCATCTAGGCTGAAGGAATCAAGTCATGAGGTTAAGAATACCACAGAGACTTATAGCTCTTTTTTAAAAAATGCTTATTTAACATTAGCCGTGTTTCCATTAGGCCAGAGTAGGACTCACCTCTGTTCTGTGGACCAGCATCCATTTCCCATCATCACCTGGTTTATAAAACTCTAAGAAGGGATCTGACTTTCCAAACAAGTCCTGGGGAAGAACAACAGCATGGGTTACACTGTCCTTTTCAGGCAACTGGTTCACGGTCGAGCAACAGCCAGGCCAAGGGAGACCTCCTTCCTCTCCCTTTTCCTGTAACTCCATCAATGGATGGACGTTGGAGTGAACACAGACATGAGCCCAACTGACCACGAGCTTTACCCAACATCCCACAGTCAACCGGGCAAGAGAAACGGGTAGGTTAATGCCGTGCACATGGAAACATGGGCATGGGCTGATCAGAAGAGATGGCAGGTGCCTGCTGTAGGCCTCAGAGAAGATCTCAGAGAAGATCCCACAGCCCAGATCTCATCTCTGGGCTGATTCTGCTCCCTTGAGGGCCACATATGGGAACACCACACGACGAGGCACCAAGCTCATCCCCCCATTTAGCAGACATGGAGGAACTCTTGTGTAGGTCTCAGCTTGCACTGGGAATCCTGACTGAGAGAAGATGGCTTTAAAATCAGTTCAAAAGGCTGTCACCAGCCCAGCTGAAAGGATGATCTTAAAATCCCACCTCTGGCTCCTGAGTGCAACTCTGGGTTGCAATCAGACCCTCTCATTAATGAAGGACAGTGAGCGTACGGAGCAGCATGACCTGCAGAGACCTTGGCCAACTATTGCAGCCAAAAACCAGCCTGCGATTCAGGGCCAGCCACACACGACGCTGGATGATGCCCAAGAGCACTCGGGGGATCCCAGCGCTTGATCCTGTCTCAGGGAGAGGGGAAGGAAGGGCCTTGCGACCCCACTTCCATCCCTGGAACACCGGGAGTGCCACATGAGTGTCACCAGGGGGATTTTTACACGGTGCCTGACTCGGCATCCTGCTCCCGGGAGCCCGGCGGGCTCTTTGGACAAAGATACAATGGGAAACAGCCCAGCTGGGAGGCAGCTGAGCAAAACATCCAACACTTACAAGAGGAGAATAATAATAAAAAAATAAAAAATAAAATACATTTAAAAGAATTATGGAGTGCACAACTGTCTTGGGGAAAAAAACCTCCCACACACAGCTATAAAACGGGAGCAGAGCAAATCTTGAAGGAATAAGCTGCATTAGTGATGACAGAGATCATCCAACACCTCTGAGATATGCAGGCTCCAGTCAGCGCACGTTTGCCTTTCCCGCCAGTGCCTCCTTCCAAAGGGCCACTTGTTTTCCCTCCTGGTTTAGGAAAAACAGGAGATGCACATCTCTCCTTGCTCTCTGCACGCTGCCTATTTCGGGGCGCTTGCTCCCCTTGCAGAAAAACACTGGGAATTATCTTGTCTTTAAGGAGAGCTCGAGCCTTTCCAGTCGAGCCTTCTCCCAGCTGAAGTGGAAATACCTGCCCGAATCCTGGAAAGACCCGGAGGAATTTCCCACTGGTCTGTGCAGGGTCTTCTCAGACTTCCAGGCCATGCAGTGGGGACGCAGAGGCAGGCTCTGAGCTGCGGGTAGGAAGCCTGGAAACTTCAGGAAACAGCAGGATCCCTCCTCTAGAGCCAGCCCAAGGGACCAGGGCTGTTACAGATACAGGTCCAAGCAATTTCCCAGGAGAAAACCTGTTAATATTTATACCCAAATCCTACCCATTTACAAAGTCAATTGGAAACATAAATCACTGCAAAGCATTTGGGCTTGGAGGAGTCATTACTTGCTGTGGCCAAAATTCCCAGTCACCTCCAATGACTGCTCTCATTTTATTTTATTTTATTTACAGCCAGGCAGTGGAGCAGAGCAGGCCACAAAGGCTGCCAGAGAGGTCCTCTGTGGGGAGTTGATGCTATTTTTCTGCTACCCTTTTGCACACATTTGTGAGATGCAAAAACAGGCCATTCCTTCTGCAGGGGAAACGGTTATGGCATCATTCTGTGCCTACTCACTCAGAGCCTGAACTCACTGCTCTGAAGCTTCACTGTTGAATAAAGAACAAACAAGGTGTACCTAATCCCCAAGGATCCTGCACTGGTTTAACCTGCATCCCACGGGGTCAAGGGAGCTGGCCAAGGAGCTCTGAAAGATGCTTGACATGATGCTGTGCACAGTGGGGAAGTCTGGTTTGCAAGACTGGACAGCCTTGTCCCATTCAGAGCAGGGCGGGAGGTGCCTCCAAGCCACTAGACTGTGGATTGCTAATTTAAAATGTCAGACACCAGTGGAAGAGCCAGGAATGGAACAACAGGAAGGGCTCAGCAAGGCAGAGCGGCAAACCGGTTCCAACATCTCATTCATCCAACCTGGCTCTTGCATGTCACAAGCAAGGAGGGCAGTGGTGGCTATCCCAGAAGATGCAGCACCTCCTCCAGAGACTTCAACACCAATTTGGTCTCCTTCTCACCATTCAAACCACGGTAGTGAGCAGAAAGATTGGACGTGTGATGCAGAGGAAGAACCTGCTCTTAGCCAGAGGATGGTGCTGGCATCAGCACTACTGCGTTCAATGGGGAGCGTCCTGGAGCTCTGGGCTCCATGTGGGATTTCGGCAACCAACGTGTGACTCTCATCACACACTGCAGGGTGCAAAAGGCCAAGGGGAACAGCAAAGAAAACTGAATCTACTGCAGTATCAGCACAGCCTGTAAAGGGGTTTAAAACCACAGAATGGTGGTGAAGACAAAAGCACCTGATCTGGGACAGTGGTGGAAAGTGAGAGTTTCTGCTGAGAAGAGAGCTGCTAGAGAGTGGGCTTTCCAGGTCATGGAAAACTTCAGGTTTTCTTTTAAAAACATGAGTTCAATCCAATTTCCTTTTACATGCTCAGGGACAATTTAAGTTGCGGGTGCTTCACTTCGAAGTGACACCAACATGTTTTGCCCATTACCAACACCTAGTGCATCGCAGCACCACACTGGGTTAGGGGAATTACGGAATGGTTGAGGTTGGAATCGGCCAAGCAACCCAGTTAGCTGCTGGTAACTGTAGATGGTCACTGAAGCTACAGAGGAATGAGCTTTCTGCTGATAAACTGCAGGGAGACCTAGAAAGAACTGCATTAGTCAGAGTCCCTATCCCAGTGCAACCCCATACTGTGTTACAATAAACCTGCCCAAAGCACTGCAGGCAGACATTGAATTATTGCATCTTGATTTGGGATCTGAAGATCAATGCACCTGCATGTATCATGCCCTATTCGAGCAATATCACAAGATTTCAGCTTCACCTGGCCAGGCCGAGGAACCTGGTCATGTATCAGGTCAGAAAGGCAACTCCTGCCTGCAGAGCAACTGGTGCCACTGACTCGCCACACTCACAGGCCTCAGGTACCAGCGCTGGCAGCCTCAGGTCCTTGGCAGGGCTCTCTAAAATGGCCATGGCTGCAAAGGGAGCCCCAAAGCATGAAGCAGCAGTCCCCTGCCTGCCATGGTGTCTCATCTCTGGCTTGGCAAGACAAGAGAGGCATTTCCTTGGGGCCCCAGAACATGACTGCGTTAGGGGGTTCTTCTCTGACCCAGAGGATTCACTCTCAGAAAGTCTCAGAGGAAACCACCAGCCACAGCACATCATCCAGCCCAGCTGGGAAAGGGAGTTATTTGAGGATTCCTCATCAGAGGCATTCAGTGTCCTTCACTACAGAGTACAAGACCTGGTAGGGCAAGTGGGAGGGAGAGGAAACAACAGTTGCCAACCACTGAGAAAAATCCTTGGAAAAGCTTTGTACCTGTCTGTTTTGGGCAAAGGGACGGGACAACGCCACGTTTCTACCCCTCCAAAATACCCTTCTGCCTGGATGCTCGCTTTGGAAACTGAGGACCAGCCTGTCATTAATGCAAACTCCAGAGAGACTAGGAAGGAAAAAGAAAATCCCATCGATCGCTTAGCAACACAACTGGTTTAAGAAGAGCTTTGGTTGCTTGGTAAATATGATCAGGCTGCTTTGTTCAAAAAGACTTCTGGTTTCCTGTGCATCATACTCAAAGCAAAACCTGTATGTTGGCGACTTCCACAAGGTCGACACTTCTTCCTCAGGAAGAGATGGGCCCTCTCATTTGAAATATAAAATAAAATAAAATACTCGATTTAGAGAAGGGCTAAAAGCAATGAGACGGCAGCATTTCTGCAATGCTGCTGAAAAGCGGATTCGATTCACAGGGTAGCAAAACTGTCAACTCAGTCAGGAGACGTTTCAAAAAACATTAGCCACTAAAGTAACAGATTTGTCTTAAAACACTCTTTTGAAGACATGACAGATCCAGTGTGACACATGATCTTTCCATCTCCATGTGCATTATGAAAGCACTATAGGGATGGCAGAGAAACAGAGGCACAAGCTGACCAGAGGCAGAGGCAGGGCTTGAATCCAGAGCTCCAGCTCCAGCTTGATGCTGCCTTCTCCAGTGGGGTTGTTTTCAGTCCCAGCTACACCCATAAGCAAAGATTTCTTTAGACCTCCTAACCTAGAGGGCCAGGATGTTTCTAAAAACGATCAAGATTGGATCAGACTGCCCAGGGTAGTGATGGAGCCACCGTCCCTGGCAGTGTTCAAGGAAAGTGTAGATGAGGCACTTAGAGACATGGTTCATCAGGCACGGCGGTGATGAGTTTACGGTTGGATTTGATGATCTTGAAGGCCTTTTCCAACCTTCATGATTCTATGATCTTGCAGACACAATAGCTCTTACCTTTTTATCCAGTTTTCTGCCAGCCATGCTCAGAGTAATCACTCTGTTGTCTGAGAGCTCTTGGGCAGCTATCTGAAAGACAAAGGAAAGTTGTATTGGCTTCCGGCATGAAAAATAAGTGACCACCAAGTCAAAAAACAGGGAAATCAGAACCTGAGGACCCATGCTTGGGATATATCTCTATACATTCTGCAGAACCTTCCAAGAACTTCTGCAGAACTACTTCCAAGCTAATATATTTGAACGTCGATGTCACTTTTGCGAACCAATGGGTAATTTGGGAGCACAGCCCACTCCCCAGCTACTATAAGGGAAAAGGAAGAAGAAAAAGTCTTTCCTTGCACCATTTATACTGCAAGGAGACGCTTCATATGTCGCCTTTCAAAGGAACCCAAAGAGGCCCCTGGTGCTGCTACTGACCTTGCAAACAGAGCCCTGGGGACACCTACCAGCCTGGACAACCTCATCCGTGGGGCTGCGGCCAGGGAAGCCCCTTCACTCGTAGGGCTGGAATTTAGCAGCGAACGACACACAGAGCACCAGGATGCTCCAGGCTGCTGCCTTCCCAAATACGGGTGGCCCTGCACCCGTAGGAAAGGAGCCTCTCCTGCATCTCTGTGCCCAGGGACACGGCCCTGGAGCTGCCAGGGCAGCCCCTGCCCCCGGCTCGCTGCAGCGGCCCATTTCAGCTTTAAGAGACATTTCGCACCCGCTCTTCAAAGCGGCTTTGCCTGCCAAGCGCCAGTGGGCCGCTTTTGTCTGGAACATGGTCTAATGAGTCTCTTGGTATTTTAAGAAAGGGAATGTTTATACTGACAAAAAAAAAGGAGGAAAGAAGGAAAAAAAAGAAATTATTCACTTCTGTTAGCAGTACTTTTCTGAATAGATTCTATTTTGCCCTTAAGGCTATGTCCTGCCCAAACATCTGTTCTCTGCTTCCCTATCAGGCGGCTCCTTGCCCTTCCCCTGCCCTCATTCAGGCCATCCCGAAATCCAGGAGCGGACCCTCACCCTCGACACCCAGGGCAGCCAGGGATGGAAAGGGGAGACGACGGCAGCAGGACGCCCTGCAGCACCAAGGGCAGTGCAGTGATTACCACCAGGCCTTTACAAAGCGCAGGGAAATCAAGGGGACAATTTTGCTCAGAATGAGCAATCAGAGGGTTATTTGCACTTATGAAACCGCGGAGTTGGCCGAGGTAATTACAGAGTTGTAGCCCTTGAATGTGCCTGGGCAGCTGTGCTAGGGAAGGAGGCACAGCTCCTGCACAGCTACAGGCACCAAACGTTTTAAGCAAAGAAAGGCTTCCTTGGTCCACCCAACACCTAACTGTAACCCCTCGCCATCCAGACGTTCGCTTTTAACTGGAGCGACAAGCGATTTGAGATGAAGGGATGAAGGGAGACCCAAGGGGCAAGCTAGAGCTTCAAGAAGCTGAACGGGACCTGGAAACAAGGCCAAATCCAGTGTTTCGCGCTCTCTCTCTACATTTTAATTGTTGTAGATAAAATCATAAGGAGTTTCCCACTAAAAAATGTAGCAGGTAACTCTGCATCAGGAGAGGAACAGGTAGCGTAGGGACCTCTGTGGAAACGGTGATGTCAGGAAGAGGAGGTTCACCTCCCAGCCTGGCTCCAGCACAGAGCTGCTCCTGGCACATGATCCGAGCGCAAACCTGAGGACTAACCCTCCTCCCACCCTTCCCAGCAGTGCTATCAGCACCAGGGACAAAACAGGCACTTGTACCACAGCAGTGCAGGTCCTGGTAGTATCTTCTCATGGCCAGCACCACCAGTAATAACCCACAGACCAAGCCACAGAGGCGCATCTTTTATCCAAGTGACAAAAATCAAAGCTTGTCATGTTAAAAGATTGTTTCCTATAAATACAGATTGCTTTCTACCAGCACAGTAAGCAGCTTTGGGATTTCCTCATCTGTTTAATTTAGGAGCCCTCATTTGATCCCATTCATCCAACTACTGTATTCATCACCATGACACTTACATGCTGCAGTTAACACAAAGGAAATCTGGAAAAAGTTGAAGGCAACGTGAGGGAGGAATGCGGCTCCCAAATCCTCGTCTTGTATGAGATGATGTCTACAGGGTCCAAAGCAGAAGGCTCCTTCTCTGGGGCTGCTATAAGTCCTAACACGGGGGTCATCACCGTGCTCCAACGCTGTGCTTGGATGCAAGGGAAAGGGGATCCCAGCACATATGGAATCACAGAATCATTATGGTTAAAAAAGACCTTCAAGGTCATCAAGTCCAACTGTAAACCCATCACCACCATCCTGTTAAACCATGTCCCTAAGTGCCTCATCTACACGTTTCTTGAGCACTGCCAGGGACGGTGGCCCGAACGCTTTTCTGGGCAACCTGTTACAATGCCCAACTACTCTTTCCATGTAGAATTTTTTCCTAATATCTAACCTGAACCTCCCCTGGGGCCACTTGAGCCCATTTCCTCTTGTCCTACGAGCAGGCTGCATCATCCAGTCCAATTTAAGAGGGGGGCAATAACAGTGACAAATTACAGAAAGAGAACAAAATGAACCAGACAGCTCCAACCCCTCATGGTATATTACTGACTGATAAGAAGTTTCCTTTACTTAAGCACACAACTTGGGGATTGGAAACTCTGAAGTGGGTCCAGTTCTTCCCACTCAAGTGTCACATGGGCTGGGTAGAGCCCAGGACTCGGGGGAAGAACCCAGCACCAGGTACCACTTGCAGACTTTGAAGTCCATCTACCTTCTTGCTTGTAGAGCTCAGCTGCAGCAACTAAGAGAGGAAAGCTGGACCGCAGCTTCCCTAGCAAACAGCAAAGGAGATGCTATTGCAGCATTCTCACCCTGCTCTTTCAACCCATTTTTTAAATCCTTCCAATGCTTTTTTCAACATAAATGTGCTTTAACCCCTTGTGGACCCTTCTGAGCAACGCAGAGGGAGGAAGAGCTGCTTCTCCCCCATCGTGGCTGTCCAGCTGCAAGTCTAACAAAGCCCCTAACGAAGGCAGAAGAGAGATCCGAGAGGCTGGGAGATGGGGGAACAGGCCTAAATTCAGTCTTTTTATTTGTAAAGACATCCCTAAACAGATCAGCATCGGGAATGCCACTGCCTGAAGGGGTCTGCATGAGGAGCAAAGGCTGTTGCTAAGAGACCTAACTCCCATCCCCTTACTACACACACAGGCACTGATCATCAGTGCCGTAATCAGCCCTTTTACCCCCATCTGCTCTGGGGAAGGCTGAGCAGACAGTCTGTATCACAAGATCACAGGCAACAACAACACACGTTTACTTCGTCCTTCTCCAAATTTAGGTTTTCTTATTTAATGTGCAGAGATAGAAATCAAGATCCAGGGCTCCTGGTGCTGGACACCCAAAGTACAGCAGGAAAGATGGTCCCTGCCCACATACCTCCTCCTCCAACAGATTTGAGGCAAATGGGAGGATCTGAAGGTAGAGACAAGCCCTGGTTTCTGGGTCCAGTGCAAGTCTCCTGCCTCACCCCCAGTTTATTATCTGTATTTACTCACTCAATATACAACATAAATGAGTAACCATACCGTTATCATCCCTTTCCCAGCTGGTTTGCCGTTCCCCAGAAGGAGAGTTCTTGTTATTTTCTTGCTGGAGACAATCTGGAGGAGCCAAAGAGAAAAAAAGTCATTATTTTACAAGCGATTGAAACAGATTCATCAGCAACTGAGCAGTGCTCATGTTAGTTGGACCTGCTGAAGTGTTCCTGGCAGCAGAAGACAGACATGGCATTCAGAATAGACCTGGGTAGTGCTCCCATCACCACCATCATCCCAAGCACCTGAACCCAGCTCTTTGTGCATCACGAGAACAAGCCCCGGGACTCGGCACGGCGCTCTCCAACACAGCCAAGTCCTCAGGGATGTTCTTTCCATTCCCCTCCAGCAAGGCTTTTCTCCCTCTTTTGCAATTGCAAGGCAAAGCTCCTTATCGCCGTGGCACATCTTTGACCTGGTGGCATCCTGGAGCTTTTCCTCCAGGAACTCAACAGTCCTAAAATGGGGGTCATCACTGTGCCCGGACACAAGGGAATGGGGATCCCAGCACATCCCACACAGGAGCCATCAAATGACATGAGCTACACGAGCAACGTCGCATGCAGGGTGGGAAAATCTCCTCATTTGGCTACAGAGGTTATCACAGGTCTGAGAATGATGCAGCCACTCTTTTAAATCTCCCATGGAGTGCTTAACTGAAATGAAATCATCTGGCTAATCTGACAGAGTTCAGAACTGAAAAGCCAGATGCTCATTTTGTGGTTCCTTGGAGCAAGATTATTTCTATCCAACTCTGCTTTCTCTCCCCTCCAATAACTGGTAGTGCCTCAAAAGCGGGCAGGTTTACAAAAACATCCCTGTAGACAAAAACAGAGCTCGAAACACAGCCAAAAACCCCACAGCAGCCTGGCTGAGCCCAGGAGCCCTCTCCTGATCAGACACCCCAGCACACATGCTACTACTCCAGTCTACCTCCTGCCATGATCCAGCTGTGCTGCAAACCCAGGGCTTGCAGCACACCGGGAGGCTGTGCTCTCTACAGGGAGACGAGAAGAAAACTGCAGGCAGAAAACCTCCAGGAATGGCTCAACTCCAGTTTTAACCTCCAAGGTACAGCATGAGGAAACACCCTCAAAGCTTAGAGGCTGCAATCTTTCATTAAGACTAGAGGAAAATGGATGAGAGGAAACGATCGTCCCATTTCACGCTGGCATCTGTCATGGACTAGATGTCACCAAGGAGCTCAGGTATTGCTGGCGTGGGCTTACGAGAAGTGAAACAAAATCTCCCAAGCAGGCGCACGTGAAAAGGGAGTTCTCTTTTGCAGGGTGCGAACACAAGTTGCATGAGTTTGCAAGAGTTATGAGAGTTCAGAGAAACCTAAAGAGCGGCCGGAGAGTTCCTCGAAGAGGCTCACAGTTCCCCTAGGTCAGCTGAGGAATGTGAGATGAGAGACAGCCTCACGCCGTCAGCAAAACTGGCTAAATCCCTCTTGGATTGCCCAACTGGGGAGCCCCAAGCCACCCTATCGCCGCGCCGTGCTGGAGGCACCGCACACTCCAAGATCAGCACTTGCTTGTGGCTTTACAGAGCACTCCCCAAAACCCAGCCCGTGAGAGATGTTACATCTCAGCTTTGGTAACTACAAACACCCTTCTCACCAAGGGTGTTTGAGTGCCTCATCTTGAGTGCCCGAACACAGCTGGCAACGGGAGGGGTATCCAGCCTCCTTTGGCTAATGCAGAGCCGTGTTACAGTCTGGACAATAACACGATCGCATTCCCGATGCTCTCCAAACTCCTTGTGCTGCCTGTCCACCCCAACCTGCCCATTATATCGTCTGCTCCCTGCCGCTTCCCAGCACTGAGCACAAGGGAACTTCCCTCAGTCTCCATGCTCATGCCAGATACCACAGAAGCCCTGGGCAGCTGGATGCTGAAAAAGAATGGAAAAATCCAACTCATTTCCTGCCTCTGAGTCAGAACACGTTCAAAAGAGAGAAGTTTGGAGAATTTGGCTGTCAAATCCTAAGAGGGTCTGGGCTCTTACAAAACAGATATCTTCCAAAAGCATTGCATGCGTCCCAAAACCTTTTCTGCAAGAACAGAAAACACATTCCTGCACCAACATGCTAGAAGTAAGAGATATGATTTGTTGCACAAGGACAAGATTATTCCCCATATGGGCAAATCAAGGTCTCTTTTCAGTGCCTTCTTCTCAAGAAGAAGAAAGAGCAACTGTTTTTTTTACAAAAATTTTGGGCAGAAAAAAAAAAGAAGAAAGCCATGCATTGTATTACATTCAGACAACTGAGAAAGAACTGTAGACTGAATTCATCCTAACTTAAGGCATCTGGAAGTTTCCCTAGTCCAAATCCAAGCTCGTCACTGGGGCTCCTGTTATAAGCCACAGAGAGAAACAAGTACCTCAAACAGCTTCCAAGATAAGTGTGGAAGACAACTGGGTGCATCACCCTCCCCTGTGTTCACCAGGGGGTTTAACTCTCTCTGTGGGCAATAGCAGGAGCCTGTATGAATAGTTCATTCCTTGCAAAAAGCAAGGAGACTTCTAAATTCAGGTAAGAAGAACTCCAGTTCTAATATGGAACAGCTCAAATGTGACTAAGTTATTTGAAAATAGCTTTGGCCAGAAAGGATCCAGGTACTTAACTGTAATTCACAGCAACAGCTCTAATCCTCGCCGCGTCCCCATGCCTGATATTATTTGAGGTCCCTGATATGATTTTGGGGGCTGGAGGGCAGTGAACTGCAGGGGGTCGCGATGCCTGAGACTCACCATGCCCAGCGTGCAGGAGAACTCCCCCAGAAAGTCGTGCTCATACAGCTGCATGCTCGATTTGTCCTGGTCAAAGAGGGCAAACTTGAGCTTCTGCACTTCTTCAAAGTGATAGTCGACGATGAATTTCTTCGAGAAGGCTGGGTTGAGGTTGTTCACAGCTGTTTCCGTCCTGTCGAGCTGCAAGGAGCAAAACAGGCACAAATATTCAGACATCGACACCCTAACTTCATAGCGTGTGGGTGGATTCAAAGCTTCCTGAAGCCAGTCTTTGCATTTGTTCCTGACATCTCTTTTCCTAGGACACCAAAAGGACCCCTCGAGCTGATATTCTCAAGCACCTTCTCGGTCCCAAACCAGTTTCCTCCAGTCCAAACCATTTGGACTGCACCTGTAGCCCTGGTTCAGCTTGTTCCCCACAGCCAGCCCCACTCACGAACTCAGAGGTCTGTAGCGGATTTTGCTCTGCATTTCTTCTCAAGGTGAACCTGGGTGAATCACCTCAAGAGCACAGGTCCAACACAAGCCATTAGGCACTATACTGTCCTGTGACTGCCTGGAACCTCCTTACCAGAAAGCTCCTCTGATCCTCAAGGCAGCCAGACTCTCATAGCTGTAATGCTTTCTACAGCAGGCCAAACCTCTGCAGCTAGCAAGGACAAGCAAAAGAAATTAAAAAAACTTCCAACACGTCCCACTAGAACCTCAAAACAAAACATCCATGTGTTTTTTTTTCTTTCTTGGGCCAACATAGCCAAATAAACTAACTGGAAATAAAAAAGAAAAGAAAAAGAAAAAGCCCCACCACAGTCCTTTTATCCCTGAGGTATCTACTACAGCATCCTAGATCTTGGAGATGCAACACATCCCACTTCTGGCTAGTGACTGAAACCCTCCTGAGCTTTCCCCTCGCAGTCTCATCTCTGTAATGAGATGTCCTCTCCATCTGGAGAGGCAAGGCTCCAGACTGCAACGTTCTGTGTGAGGAATACTCACCCTTCTGTCGATACTGTCATAAAATTTGCAGTTTGGATACGACTGCACTAAGCAAGGAGAGCTTTTGTCAGCTTCGACATGCTCTTTGGAGAGCTGGTGCGGGCAGGGTAACTCTTTGTGGCACATTGTGCCTCTTCTCTGATACTTTGGGATCAGGAGGAGGGGGGAACTAACACAACGCCAACCTAGATGTGCCACAGGCTGCAGCCCATGAGCCACAGTTGGCTCCAACCTTAAGTCCAACCTTAAGCATTCCATGATTCTATGGATGGGCGTCACATTGACATGGGAAACACTTAGCACCTTTCTCCAAACGGACTTTCCCAGAGGCAGGACCTGCCTACAGAGGAGGCGGTGGGCAGAAGCAGAGGGAAGAGTTATCGCTTCTCCAAAACCTCTAAAATCCCTCTGCTCACATTAGCACTGCACCAGCAGGACCACCAAGCCAAACCAGGACCTTCCTCAATCCAGTGATCTCCCAAGAGACACAGACAGTGCCCAGTCTCTCTGGCAGGGCCACAGTCCAGTCTGCACAGCCATGACCTGCAGTACCTCGGATCCCTCCTCAGACACCCCAAAGAAGCAACCTCATTCCCAAGAGCTGATAAAAACTCATGTTAACACTGAGAAAGCTCCACAGTAGGAGTTTCGAAGGGCTGGTGGCCATGGGGAAGCAGCTGCTTGGTCATTTAGCTCTTATACTGAGCCCGTATGTTGAGCGGGTGATCAAAGCCCATCAACAACCTTGGTGTCAAGGGCTCAGGCTCACAAAGCTGAAGGGAAACTTGTATCTACTCGGGTCTAAAAGGTGCTCGGTGGTGCAGAAGAAACAGTACAAGGAGATTAAATGGGAAGCTGCCAACGGGGAGAGCTGCGAAGCCGGTGTGGGGAACCCATGGCTGGAGAGCAAGGATGAACAAGAGCTGCCTGGGATCTCCATCCACAGCACCGGAGAGAGATCCCAGCACCAGGAACAGCGATAAGAGCAGAGCAAGCATGGCAGGCAGCCAGGGGAAGTGTGAGTTTACATCACAGCGAGGCACAGACGGACACAAAACCTCAGCCTTGCCAACAACCTGGAGCACAGCCGTGCTGGGGAGCAGGGGATGCTCCCTCTGTTTGCAGAGCTCTGGCCCCGAAGCCCATAACAACCACTGCCAGAGGCCCAAGACCACCTGAGCTCCTGAAAATTTAAGGCAGACATACATGGAGCAGGAAAAACTCCAATATTGCCCTGACTGCAAAAATGAAGCAGGAAAAAGATGGTGTATTCACACCAAGTCCTTCCAGATGTGGCCAAGGAGGGTCCAAACCATCATTTCAAGACCCATTTTCCTCATCAGGTCGCCCTCCATTCCGAAAGTGCTGGGAAAGGATAACTTTGGAGGACAACATACAAAACCCTCAGGGAGCTGAGAAAAGGCCATAAATAAAGTGGAAAGCACAGCCTGACTAGTGACTGTTGAAGAGGAAATGAAGGGGACAGTGCAATAACCATTGAAAAACACTTGCAAGGATAATTCACAAGCATGAACTGCAAGCAAGCAAATGAAATGGATTTTGTAAGAATGGACAGCTACAAATATTGCGGTAGTTTAATAAAAATAAAATAAAATATAAAATATAAATATAAAAATAAAATAAAATAAAATAAAATAAAATAAAATAAAATAAAATAAAATAAAATAAAATAAAATAAAGATAGAGTTCTCAGCCAATTTTTACAAGGGGTTTGCTGCAAGATGGATGAGACTGTGGGAGAAGATCCCACGGAAAGCACCAAACACTCCGGAGCACCTGAGTTTCTTTGGCTTGACGAAGAGCCACAAAACCAGAGCAGCCTGGGACCAGTCCTGCCCTGACGCAGCTGGTAGATGAGGTGGTACCATCAGCCTTTCTTTTCCATTTCATTCTATTATTCCAGGATAAAGTTACAGGAGCAACTAAACCAGAATGGAAGGCACACGCGCGTAGGGGTGATTTTATCAAGAATACACTTCTCAAGTGCACTGGGAGCCGGTCTCCGGAGCTGGTGGCACTTGCACACGAGCGTAGTAGTTCTTGCACACAAACAATACCCCTGCCTGGGCCACAGTCTTCCAGGTGCAGCAGGGGCTTCCGTGTGCACCTGCTTTTTGTGGCTGCAGGCGCTGGAAGCGGATGCTGTTTCGAGGCCTCCGTGGAGCTGCGGGCTCCGTCCGGCCCTGAGGAGCTGCCTGAAAGGGAGCACTTGAGATGGGCAGAACAGGGTTTGCAACAACCAGAGCCTCCTGCACCTCCCGGGCAGCAGCCCCAGGAGCCTGCAAGAGTGATGAACTGGCCTGCAATTCCCCCGTTGCTCCAGGCTGCTTTCTGCTCAGCCAGTTTCTCCCACTACGAGGCTCTGTGGACTCTGACTGCCACCAAAACCACAGGGAGCTTCTCGTTGCTCATAGCCCTTCATGTTTTAGAGGACAAACTCCTTCAGATTCACCCTCCCGTAAGCCTTTCCATTGGGACACAGCATTTGCAGAGGAGGCACCTTGGGATCCGCACCCCAGAAGCAGAGCGCTGACAGTAGGACCGTTTCCTTCCCATGAGATAACTCCCGAAGGTCCCTCTGCGCCAGGAGGTTGGCTCCCTCCTGGACACCCGTGGGAAGGTGCTCAGCATCGCTACCACAGCACTGAACAGCAGCACCCAGTCCACGAGCACCAGCCTTCTTCATGACCTGAAAACCCAGCCATGGGAAGGCTTGGCCAGCTCCATGCAGATGCTTCCTTCCCTACCACTTCCCTCTACTGAAGGACCCCAAACTTCTGCTCAGAGAGAAGCAATGGACGCTCACACTATTAAATAGCACAGGACGCACAAACCCATTTTCAAGCCTCAGAACCAAACTTCTCCCCGGCAGCAGGCAGCACAGAGATGGATTTCAGCTTGCTTCTCCTGCACCCCCTGAGCGATGGAAAGCCTGCGCAGCCGCCCTCCAAAACTCCTCGGTTAGAACTGGGACAAGCAGAGAGCTGTTCTGGATGCAGCAAGGTGCTTCCCTTGCGGGTTGGAGGAGGTGGGTAGACTGTGTAAGACTGAGGCCAAGGATGCAACGAGCCAGAGCTCTGTGGCTGTTCCCCCCTGCAGCAGCACAACCATAAAACCAGATTGCTAAATAACAGAAGTGAAACAAAAAGGGCTTTTTTTGGAGTACCCAAGGGAAAGAAAACAAAGATCGGGATCTTCACGAGCACCTACATAGCCCAGATGCCCAACGCCCTCATCTCCACACGAGCAATGCTCCATCACTCCAGAAGGTGAAAGCTGGGCTTGCAGAGGCTGAAAAAGGTCCCCAGGGTGGTGGAGAAATGGCCAACACACCCCGGGGCACCACAGCCAAGCAAGTTAACACATACACGCTGAGGTATCTTTGCGAGGGATCTCGCCTTAAAAAGGGATCTTGTACCCCCCTTGTCCATGGGGGTACAAGAAGCTCAAGTCCTGAGGGTCCAGCATCCTCTGAAGACCCACAGGAGCGTGGCCGTGCTTTACGAGACACATGCCATGCTCTGCCACGCCAGACACGCAAGACAGCAGAGAGAAACACGAGGAGCCAGTTGCTCTCCCAGGTCTCAGCGCCTCCAACTCAAGTGCTTTACCTCAGCCGTCAGGAACAAGCTCTGCTGTGCTTCGAATGGATGCTAATGCTCAAGGCAAGAGTGGCCTTCACCACCAAGAGCTGTCCCCATGTCATCCAACAGCCGGGGCACACCTCGAACAAGGGTCTGAAGGAATGGTGAAACCCAGAGAGGGCGGTTGGAGTTAATGCAGAGCAAGAGGGCTTCCTTCAAAACCCAGCCGTGTAAGCGTTTTTCTGACCCTGTAAAGCACAGAACTGTCTTCGCAAGTCAAGAGAGGAAAGCATAAGGGTTTTTAAGAGACAAGCAGGCTAACTAAAGATCTCTGCTCAGTCAAGAGCCTCAGTTCTATGAAACAAGCAGAAAACCAGGAAAGTGTCTCAACTGACGGATCTCAGGTTGAATGGCTATAGCCCAAGTGCTCTCCTGCTCCAGTTTTACTAGAGAAGATTAAGCAAACCCAGCACATGAGAGATGCTGTCACAAGTGCAAAGAAAATCTTGAGCTGAAAAAGTAGCCAAGAGACCAACCTAGAAGGAACAACCAGGGCTTGGTTCATAGACCTGGAAAACAGCAAGAGTGAGGAGAGCAAGGGAAGGAAGACACTTCTAGCACTGAGAAAATGCGGAAAGGACATGATTTAAGAGCAGAGATGCTACACTGTGCCTCTTTCCTCTCTTCCCATCTCCTCCAGAGAGACCTTGGAAGTCACAGCTCAAGCAACTCCAGCCAAAAGGTTGGCAACTGACTCAGCTTAAACACTCAGCTCAGACCAAGCTGTGCCTAGAAAACCAACAAGGCCTCAAGAGCATGAGCAAGCCGTGATGTTGCACCATACCCCATGCTCTGGGCTGGAAAGATGATTCACAAGGGGTTCAAGAGAAATGGCACAGCTGAGTCATACCTGTCCCTGCTCCCAGCATCATGGGCCAGGTCTTCCATGGCTCCTGCAACATGATGTCATCAGGCCGAAAATTAATATGTTACCCATTCTTATGTCACTCTCTGGCTTGTGTTTTCTGTTCCTTCCCTTTCCCCCTCAAGGCTGATTCACAGAGCGTTTTAGTTCCTATGAAGCTTAGTGAGACAAAATAATTGTATTTGGGAACAAATCTGACAGCCAGAGGAAAAAAACGCAGCGAGCAGAATCCTTTTTGTGGGCGTTAGCAGGCGTTGCAGCCCCAGATCCACCCCCCAGCACGGCTGGTTCTGACTGCGGAAAGAGACCCATGTCCTAAAGGAGGGTTGATATTTGTAGCTTCTTCATCACTAATCAGTCCCGAGGGGACACACAGAGTGTGAGGGCTTCTCGGCACATGCAATGGGATGAGTCCATTCGGCTTAGCCATTATTGCCTGCCCTGGTCCATCCCTTGCATTTAGCTGTGTTCTTAAAGCCACCACTCGCAGACACAAAACGGATTCATTTTAGACCATTTGCCTCAACTGGGACAAGCCTCTGGTTTCACCTGTGCTGCATAAATCCATCTGATAGGGATGATAGGGAGACTTTGCATGAAGACTGCCCACATTTGAATTCCAGGATGTGTTCTGCTCCCAGCAGGTTGACGTATCTCGGCCAGTTGCGCTCAGAGCCAGAGCTTTCTGCATGCAGAAGCAACGGGGGGCCCTGTTGTCCACGCAGAGGCAGCCCCACGGCCGGCAGCGAAGCCCCCGTCGGTTTTTGCAGGACGCTGACCTCCGCTGCAACCACGCAAGCGGAACATCGAGCAACCTGCCACTCAACACCGACCTCCAGGAGCCACTTTGCCAATTAAAAAGCAGCTAAAAATAACAGGAAAAGAAAAAACACGTTTGATCGCATTGCAAAAGAAACGGTGGAATCAAAACTGCTGGACTGAGACGTTGCTGACAGTGAACGAGAAATTCCCAAGAATTACAATCAGCTCAAAGAGATGCCACTTGACAAGACTGGAAGGCTCATCAATGTCATCTGGGTTGCTGAGCCAGCACCACCCAGGCCGGGCAGTGGGGAGGACTTGCCCTGCATCTACCTGCTTGACACCCAGGAGACCAGTTATAAGATACCCTCAGTGATGCCCATCGCTCAGCAGCTCCTTGGCTCCCCTGCTAGTCCGGGCACCACCCAAAAGGACCAACCTAATTTCCTGGGAACTAGGATGGTTATTTGTTCTGGTTTTGGACCGGGTTTGGTCCTAGGTGACTTAATGCCCTTCAGATGATTGTTTTGTGCCATCCTGCCCTGGCTGGCACTCAAACCAGTGCCTGTATCCAGCAAGCAGAGCTTCTCCGCTCCCTCTTGTCCCCAGGGACAGGAGGTTCCTCCTGGGAACCAAGTCACATCTGAGAAGCTGGCACCTACATGGAAGCATCACCCAAGCGCCACGTCTTTGTGGGGCAATAATACAGGTGATAACCAAGGTTCAAAGGCAGTTTGGGCAGCTCTGGGCAGCGATGACAACACTTAGACACGCGGCCCCAGAAGCAGCTCGCGGTGGCTGCAGCCACCCTGGTCCTTTTCCTAGCAGGAGCAGGATCTTCCCAGCAGGAGGAGGATCTGGCTGGTGGGTATTCTGGGAAGCAAATCCTTGGGATCAAGCCAGCATTTTACTTACGCTATCAAATAATTCAGACAGCCGCTAAGGGTAAATTCCCTCACACTCCATTGGCTTAGCGAGCAGCTTCATCCCAGCGAAGCAGAGGGCTGGAAGCAACAACACACACTGGGACATCTGCAGAGCTGGATATTTTGGTAAATCCAAGGAAAAACAGTGCTGGCAGGGAGGATAATTCAGGAATGACCTTTCCTTTTTGCCAAGCAAGCAACAAGATCCTTGGCAGTTTCTCCTCAGCACCTCCCAGCATTAAACATGGCAGGTGAAGCCGGCACGCATGGGATTTCTGGTAAGGAGGAAACATGAAGGGTGCAAAGAGCTCCAAAGCTTCTTGGATTTGCCAGCTGCTTGCTGTCCATCTGGAACAGAGCAGATCTCCAGCCCTCCATTCATCTAACATGCAATATTCATCTTTCCTCTCCCATTTCAGTGAATGACAGCTCGCAAGCTCATTAAAAGCACAACTTAAAGCTCTGTTTACCTTGATGTAATTTTCAAAAAGGGCCCCAGATATTCAAACAGAAGCTACCTGGGATAACTCTATTCTGCAGGACAGACTTGCCAGGCCATCCCCCAGCCCATCCTGTCCCACAGGAACAGCAGCTCTTCAAGTCAGACCCAAAGAACAGCTTTGTTTATGGTTTGGGATGCCAGAAACAGCTCCCAGCAGGTGCTATTTTTGAGGTAAGCGATTAAGTCTCACGTGCTGTCATGCCATCCATCAGCTCACCACAGAAACCACCCCAGGGGATGGGGTGGTAGCAAAAGCAGATGTGCCACAGTTTACACACCTGTGCCACATGTGCACCCTCGAGGGGACCGAAAGGATTTTTGGAAGCTGATTTCATGGAGGAACCTGATCTGACCTTGATGAAGCTGCTTCATTCGAGGTGCAGGATGTAGGGAACCTTCAAAGGTGCAGCTTTAGTACAGCTCTTCCCTCTGCAACAGATGTCTGCACGCTTTGTGCTGGGCACTGAAAGACCTCGCACACAGCTGGCACAAAACGCAGCCTCCAGAGCAGCATGAAACTCGTCGCTCAACACAGGAAGAAAAGCAAGGCAGGAGACACTGATCTTCAGGGAAGCAGCTCCTTCCTCGCGGCAGCTTCCAGGGGCCGCCGTTTGCACTGTGGTGTTGCATGAAGCTGGGCACACCGAAACCGATTTCTGTCCTATCTAAAGATAAATATTATACCAAAGAGGACTACGAGGAGCTTTGAAAGCTCAGCCCCAGCCTCTCGCAGAGCCTGGCTGCATGTCTCAAAAGCACAAGCCTATGCTTGAGATTTCTATTCCTTGCTGTTCAAAGCAGCTTGACAAGAGCTGGTAGCTCAGATCTCCCATGCCAGCCTCTGGCTGAGCCCTGGGCACAGAGGGAAGGGAAGGGAACAAAAGAAAAGATGTTTAAAGCAATGTTAATCCAACTCGCTCCAGCCATGACTAACCCAGAGACTCGGCTCTGCTTAGGAATCAAGGTCTGTCCTTGTTTAGTCTGTGTTTACTCCACGCATGAACAGACTTCTAGGTTCAGTGGGTGCTTAAATGAGTAAAACAACATGAGAGCCCTCCTCAGATCCCAAGTCTGGACAGAGCAAGGATGAGCCAAGGGTATCGTCACGCTGCCTTCCCCCAGCTTGGTGCCACTGGAAGGAAGCCTGGGAACAGGTGGGAGCCAAGGTGGTTTCCAGGCACTCCCCTTCTCGGGATAAGCACGGAATCAGTTTAAGTGCAGCCCCCTTCACAACACAGGCAAGCAACATTTAGCTTCCGCTTGCCCAAATCAGCCCGCACCAAAATACCAGCACCATTCAGAGACGTCAACACTGGGTCAACCACACGAGCTGGAAATCAGGACAACTTCAGGACTTACCTCTACCCATTTCCCATTGACCTCCATGAACAGGACGCAAAAGGGGTCGGACTTGGACGTGACATCCCGATCCAGAAGGTTTTGGCCACACACAGACAACTCGACCTTGCAGACACAGTACTGGGCGCCGATGGGCCCCGCTGGCGTGGGGCTCGCCGTGTACGCCATGGGCTCCGAGTCTGCGGGCTACGAGAGAGCACAACAGCGTTAGCACAGGGCAAAGCCACCTCCAGCACCTCAAACTCTTGTATTAGCTCCCTCGTGAAGCCACATGAAGCCTAGAGAGTTTGTACCACTCTAGGTACAAACCCTTCTGTGCTGAGCAGAAGGTCTGTGCAACCACCACCTGTGGTGGCTGAACTCCACAAATCACACTTTTCCAAGGCAAAGCAATGTCTTTTTTGGGGTTTTTTTTTTTGTCCTCCCGAGGGACTAGGAAGACAGGGGCAGTCTCAGGCATAGAGAGGTGGGCTCTTCCAGACTTAGAAACTCCTGAAGTAGAGCTCTAGCAGCCGGATCCATGAGGGACATCACTGCCACCACCACTTGGCTTAGGAGACAGCCCTGCCGCTGCTGATGTCCCACCTCGCACCCGAGCTCCTTGCTCTCTTCTGCCATCCCCGCACTCACAGGGATCGATGCTCTCCCGCGTTTCCTGCAAGTTCCCACAAGTGCCGACAGTTACATGGGGACAGCGAGAGCTCCCCAACCTGCTGCCGAAAGGATCTGAAGGAAAAGGGGAACAGCAGCACGGAAAGGCAAGAAGGAGAGGTAAAGGATTTGGAGGAAAGTGTGGGCCATGCCAGGAGAAGGCGACAATCCATCAAGCACTGATCCATATCTCCTATTGTTATTTCCTGAGGACACTTTCACATCCAAGCAGGGGAAAGGTCCCCTTCTCTTCCTTTCCTGTGCTTCCCCTTCCTCTCCACCTTTTCTTCCAGTATATATATTTGTTTTTCCCCAGGAGGGACCACATTCCCATGGCATTTTTCAGCATGAAAACTCTTCCTTTGGCATCTTTTGAATGGGGGCAGAGTGGAAATAAGGCTGAAAGCACAAGGACTTGTCCCCGACCTCACGGGAGGGACAAGCTCTCTCCTTCAGCTCTTCCAGCAAGTCCCATGGCACTTGTAATCCCAGGCGGTCCCTCCTGGGAAACAGATGGGTTTGTCCCACCCTTGCTCTGCTCCAGATGGAAAAGCAACCAAACTACCTTTTGGGCAGCCCACTGGTGAGCGCCAGGCAAGGCAAGGATGGAAAGAAACCATCCTCCCACAAAAGGAGTAACGTTAACTCCACTGATGTCTTTGCTTGGCCCCGTTCGGTCCACGAGAAGTGTGGGCTGAGGTTCTCCCTCAAGTCTCCATCAAAGCCATCAAAGTCAACGTCCCACCACACAAAACACTTCCAGGCTGTCACGGTGTGGTGGGACACAGAGCCAGGAAGGGCCCAAGCCACTAGGGCCAAACTTGTCACCAAGCTGTCACACAGGAAGGGGTGAGAGGATCCAACAGGGCAGAAGGAAGCTCCAAGCAGGCCAGAGGGAAGCAGGGGCTCCAATATCCACAAAAACACAGCGCTACTTGGTTCACAGTCACTGTAGAACCTGGTACATGGGCTGAATTACAGGGTCCTGATTAAAAAAAAAAATCAATTCTAAGAAGAGCTCAGGAAAAGTCTAATATCAGGAAAAGTCTAATATCAAAGCTATTTGCAGAAGATAAATATGAGCTTTATACTATCATTATGGCAACAACCTCATCCGTCTCCCCGTAACATTTCTGCATCCTGATGTGCAGATCATCCGCCAAAAAGCCTCAAAGGCCTTTGATGGAGAAGCAGGAAGAACAGCAGGAAAAGAAAGAAAAAAGCATTTTCTAATTCAATTATACCAGTGATCCTTCGTGGCTGTGGTTGCTAATGGAGAAAGCGCGCTCTATTCCACAGATGATTCCAAGCCTTTCTCCATACTCCTCTTCAGGAGCAGCTCCCGGCTCACCCACTTTATCTCACAACCCTAAACATCACCTTCGTCCACCTCGATGAGCCATCTGCTGCTGCTGGGAGATAAAACCCCACTTTAAACACATGCTTATCTTGCTCAGGTACAAATATTTACAGGTGTTGGCGCTCTTGAGCTGCCACGGGGAGGCTCCAGGGCTGCTCCCTTCCCTTTGGGTTTAATCTTGGAGGCACTGATCCTGATCCTGAGCTTTTGCAGAAGCCGAGATGCTGGCAACGCTGTCATGGAGGGAGCCGGGGCCAACGTGCCAGCAAATAAAGCAGAGCACGTGTGGGGCCTGGCCGGCGACACCTCCTCTCCTCCCGTTGGCGCGGACGCCCATCCGAGCACTCCGATATCCCAACTGCGAATCCAGCCACGCCGGGAAACAACCTCATCCTTCCACCCCCCTTCCCACCCCATCTGCCTAGCACTAAAGGGCCCCCTGAAAAGCAGAGGGCCATGGTTTTGTTGGGACCCTCCAGTTCCCTCCTCACCTGGGTGACAAAACGTGCTCTGAAATGTCCCATATGGGATTGGAGCAGCTTTCAAGCCACTGCTGCTGCCCATGGCGGCGAAAAGAAAGATTTTTTTGTTCTTTAATCCACAGATGATGCAACCCAAGTCTTAAAATAGCCCCGTAGCTCTTCTATTTATGCGGCTGCCCGTCTGCGGCTCCCTCCAAAAAGCAAACCCGGGGCAGCGGCGCCGGCAGGAGAGCCGGGATGGGTTTTTCCATCTCTCCTTCCCCCGCCCCGAGCTCGTCCCCGCCGCCGAAAAGGAAGAGCAGCGGCAGCAAATGACTCAATGGAAAAAGCCTTTCCCAGGGCCGCCCGGCACCTCGCAGCTCTCTCCCTTGGGAAGAGGGATGGTGCCTCAGGAAGAGCTCCTGCTCCCCATGGGCAAGGGGAAGGGATGAGGAGCAGTTGGCGCCTGGCGCCGGGGCAAAGTCCCGGCGAGACGCAGCTCTCCTGGCACGGATCCGCTCCCAGCCTGGGCTCAAAGGGCACCGCGGGGGCCTCGGAGCAGGAATCCAGCAGCCCCTTCTCCCTTGTCTCCGCTGGGGACAGACAGGACCAAGCCACCGGAGCGAGGCCCTTTTACGGTGGCTATTTGCCCCCAAAGGTCTAACCCCATCCCTCAGGTGCCAGCAACAAAACGCGCTATTTGGCAAGAAGACAAAAGGCAACAGAACGACCCAACCCATCTCTACACAGCCCTGGTTCCAGCAGAGACAGTTTTTCCATGGAAGAGGGGAACTCTGTCCTGGTTTCTACGGTGCCCAGCGGTTGGTGGGATGGTGGGAAGGGTTTCATCCTGGTGTCCCAAAGCTAAATATCTGTGCCTGCGCACGGGACACCTTGGCTTCACCTCGGGAAGGAAGCGGAGACAGGCCCGCTGGCATCACAGAAGAGGACATCGCTTGTTAGGACCGCGGTGGGTTGGACTGTGCTGAGCAAAGCCACCTCTTACCCCACAGGAGACCTGAGTCCAAGCAGGCCTGGCCGGGGGGGGCCACACCCCGCCCTGCCGCTGACCTCCTCCTCGCTGCGCCTTCCCCTCGCCTCAGCATGGAGCCCCTCGGAAAGGCCCAGAGCAGGCTGGGGCTGCTGCGATGCTGGTGTGGGCCAGGAAGCTCCTGGAAGTGGCTCTCCACAAGGCCAGGAGGAGCCAGCAGGAGAGACGTGCCAGGGAGCGCACCAAGAGGGTCCAACCACCCACTCCCAGGGCTGCACCTTGCCTTCTGCAGCAGAAGGGTTTGCACCCTGCTCAGCACAGGACCTGATCCACCTGAAAACCAACTCACTGAAGAGCTGAAGGCACCTGTGCTGCTTCAGCAGAGCACAGCCACGGCAGCAGGTCCTGCTACAACACGTGTCCACCCATGTCATTCGGCCTGAGCACTCAGCCCGCCCCGCTTGCCACGGGGAGCCCGGCCCCAGGACCGGCCTCCTCTCTCCTGGCTGGGTTACACCAGCAAAAAAATAACATAACATAACATAACATAACATAACATAACATAACATAAAAGCGGGGTGGGGGGTTATTATCTCCAGCACCTTTTCCTCCCACTGCACACACTCCCTGGGCCAGCTGATGTCCGCTGGCACTAGCCCATCAGCTTCATGGGGACATGGAGAGCAGTGCCAAGCAAGGATTTGGCCTTTGCATTCCTCACATAGGGGTGGGGGCAGCAGCTGGACAACACACTGGGCTCCTCGGGGCCTCCCGTGGTCACGGATGCCACATCTGAGACCCTATGAGACTCGAGGAGAGAGTGGCAGAAAACGTAAGCCCTGGAAAACGCCTCCAGCTCCGGGGAAGTTGAGCTGGCACCAAAAGAAAACATCTCTCCAACATCTATATTCTGGTCTCTCCTCCTATTTTTTTGTTCTCGTCTCTCAGCATTCACCGCCCTAAATAAAGTCCTTCCACTCACTTGGCATCTGCAGTCAAATATTCTCCGAACATATAATCACAGCTGCCAGGTTTGTGCTTATCAAACGGCCACGTGGTTTCCTAGGAAAGCACGAGCCTGGCTCGGGGCTGCTCGGCTTCCAAGAGCAGACAAAGCGGAGCACGTCCAACCCAAGGCAATGCTGCAGCTGCGGCTCCGGCCCTCCCTTCCCACCTCCGAGTCGTGTCCCAGAAATACGTGGAGGCGGCTGGGTGATGAGCCAGGACTGCCAGGCATGGCCCTTATTGATAGCAAGGCCTCCGTGACGAGGACAAAGCCTCAGGTCTCCTGTGGACCTGCCCAACGTCGGCCACAGCAGCCTTAAGGATGGGCGATAGGAACAGGGCATGGGCAGAGGGACAGGTTCTCCAGATACCTCCGGGACTCCAGCACTACCAGGTCAAGGATTTCCCAGGCTGGAATTTCCCTGGATTTACACTGAATAGCTCTCAAGTAGTTTTTCCCTCAGGTGACTTTGTCACCTGTAAACCACCGTGCCCGTGATGCCTCATGTGGGTGAGTGTGCCCACTCTTCGGCTGACTTCTCCACTGGGTCATGTGCGGGAGGACCTGCTAGAAGCCTCGGAGCATTTTTTTTTCCCTCTCTTATTTTGAAGGGGAAGGAGGCACCCATCTTTCAATCCACTGCTGCCTTGAGAGGTTTTCTTCCCTCCTCTGAAGGAGGACTATGGCAAGAAGCACATTGCTC